CTCTTCATCTCGGATCTGGGCTTGGCTTTATGAAAAACAACTCCCAATAGCGTGAAATAGAGCAGAGACCCTTTGGCTTTCCCGGGCTCAGATGGGTGTTTCTGCCGTTGGATCGGGTCGATCTCAAGGTATGTTGTTCTCCTCCCTCGTGCGCTCCTCCTCACCATTTAAATATGGAAGAAAACTCTCCGAACACCGGTGAGTTGCTCGGCTGAAGGTAAACTTCTACTCTATTTTTCTCCTTTTCTTTTTTTTACTCTATTATTGCTAAAAATGTTGTGTTTCGAATGAAAAGAAAATGACCGAAAAAATCTGCTCTGAAATCTCCTTTTTTTTATTTTCGAAATGGTCGTCCTCTCTTTACATTGCTGTTGTTGGATTTTATAATCCATTAAATATGTGAAATAACATAATAAAATATTGATTTGATCTTTACTTGTGCTTGGGATTTGCTGGCTGAGTTGGAACCCGGTGACAGGGGCTGGTGCGGTGACAATGACCATGCGTTGGGTGTTGGTGCAGCAACAGTTGGCGAGTTAGTATTAGTGTAGATGATGGTGGCCTGGGAGTGTGCAATTGAGGCAATGGCGGTAGAGGGGGTTAAGGTTTGGAAACCCTAAAATTTGTTGGGTACTAGGCAGACCCTATTGGGTTCCAGATTTGTCTTTGTTAGGCTTGAGTCTTGGGTGGATGATCCTTTGTAATTGGGGCCCGAATGGGTTGTTGTATTTGGGCCTTGAACTAAATAATAAAATATAATAATAATAATAATAATGAGACGAAAACGGGTGTCCACAATATGCACTCTCATTGATCTATCACACTACTTTTCAATCAACCATAAATAATATGCAAAATATTATGTAAAAATCTAATTAAAAAATATAAATTATTCTTTAATGGTTTATCTTAGTCTCAAAATATTATGAATTAATTCAAAAGTGTTCTTACTATGTTTGTGGATTGGATCAAAATGTCTTCATCAATAAAAGCATGTGATACTTTGAAGCTAGGGCCAAGGCAAATACATACGAAAATATACAGTTGTGAGGCCAGAAGAATGGTTAAGAACAACCGGAGCAATGACAGGAGTATCCAATCCTGCACCACATAGATGCATACCTAAATCGAGATATAGGGTCGAATTCAATTACACGATGAGAAATGTCGACACCGTTTTGGCTCGAGTGGGGAAAACAAGTATCGACTTAGGGGTTTTTCTTTGAAATGTTTTTGAAATCTGAGGAGTCGCCACCAATCATTTTAAGGTACGAATGGGACACCATAAAAATAGGGTGATTTTAATAAAACATTTTATTTTTATCAAAATACTAAGTTTTAGGGTCTGTAAAAACCCAAAAATAGGCTCGGGAGTCTGTTACGCATGGGGAATGATTAACACCCCCACTACGCCCAAAAAATTGGTACCTAATTGATTACTCTATATTTAGAATTGAATATTTTGAGTTCAAACTTTATCTAATTAAAAATCATTACAGATTCAAAGTTGAAAAGGGTATTCGTTTATTAAAGCCGAAAGCATTCGCCCCCTAGCATGAATGCAGGAGATCAACTATTGTGTCCAATAATTGAACATTGCCTCGATATTTTAGAAATCATGATGACGTCTTGAAAAGGGTGTTGACCTATTTCGGGAATCACCAGTAGTGACCACCTGAGCATACTTGCGGGATATATACTATTGACTCCCTAATAAGTGAGCATTGTCTTAGGTTTTAAAATAAGATGCAATCAAACAATTTTTATTGACCCTAATTAAACTAAGGGTAGATTAAGGCTTTATCTATTTTAAAGTGACAAATAATGAAAATTAAAGAACATAGAGCCATAAACCTAAAAATGTAAGCTCTAATATTAATCCTATTTGATTTTAACCAGTTATTTAATCGAATAATCGATATAGTCCCTTGAGCATTTAGGAGAGGGCCAACTCAGATTACTCCCTAAATTAAAAGGACCAAATTGAAATCTTAATCTAAAGAAGAGGTTATAATATTAGCATAAATTAATTTTAATCAATATTACAATTTGAATAATTAAAATGGAACCTCGAGCAAAAACGAGGACCAAATTAAGAATTCTCCTAATTTAAGGATTAAATGTGAAATTAGGCCTAAGATGGACGCTCTAATATTAATTTTAATTAATCATGATACCTAAATAAATTAAAAGGTTTTTTTAGGGATCAAATCAAAAGAAAAATAAATTTAAAGAATAAATTAAAGATATGGTAATCTAAATCAGGACCCAAAATGCAAGATGGAAATATAAGGTATTCAATAAAAATATGAAACATGCATACATATTTATGGGACTAAAATAAAATAAATGGAAACTAAAGTGCAATAATTAAAGGACTAAAATTAAATTGCTGAAAAATAAGAGACAAAATGAAGATCAGAAAATTAAAGCAAGTAAAATGTAAGGACTAAAACTAAATAAAGAAAAAACATAAATTTAAAGGTGCATAAAATTAAATAACAAAAAAAATAAATAAAAGAGCAATAAAAATAAAATGTTCGTGTCAATTTTGAATGTTTAACTCGGACCGTAAATAATGCAAGTTCTATCATGGGGCAGGTCTTTGTAAGGTTGTACATGATTCGAACATAAAATAAAATAAATAAATAAAAAGTTAGCTGTTAGAAAAGTTAGTTGTTAACAGTCCGGAGCATAATAATGTGGACCGTACACCGTATCGGGTCACCACAAGGTCATATAATAATTCAAACAAATTAATAAAAAAAATTAATTCAAACAAATTAATAAAAATATTAACAGTTAAAAGTTAATAGAGTCTGGACCATAATAATGTGTATCGTACCCCGGATTGGGTCACCACAAGGTTGAATTGAATATCAGCAATAAATAAATGTCAATGGTTAATATGCAAGAAAATAAAATTTAGTAGTTAACTCGAAATAAATAACATAGCAGAATAGTGACCAAATTAAAAGTTAATATAGTTAGTAAGCTAATTTAAAAAGGAAAAAGTTGGAGGACTTGTGGGTGATTTGACCATGACAATGCTGACTAAAAGGTAAAAACAAGCTAAAGATCTAGGGATCTTACTGTAATTTACCCAAAAAAGATGAAACTTGTTTCATCTCCCCTCCCTCATTAACAGAACCTTTTCAAGGCTCTAAACCAAACGTCAGCCACCACATGAAAGCTCTCGCACGCCGGCCATTGGGCCGGTGACCATCATACTCCAATCGGTGACCCCGACCATGATCGAAGGAGGGTCGATCAAAGGGGCTAAACGACAGAAAACTCCCCCTCCACGTTCATCTTCCTATCTCATGCTCTCCCTCTCCTCATCTCACTTGACCGAGAAGGCTAAATGCACAGATCCAACGCCAACAATACTCGCAAGGAACTCATCAGCGTCGCCGCCCACTACAAACCCGAGGAATCTCCTCGGCCAAAACTTAAATTGTCCCTCTTCCTAACTCTCCACTCTTCCACGACAGAAAACCACAACCCCTAGGTTGAACACGAACCCCAACAACAACTCCAGAGGCCCGACTACCCCGATAACGCCACCTTCGACGGTGGTAACTCGACCGACCGACAAGACTCACCCCGATAGACCAAGCAGACCCAAAAAAATGGAGCAAAAAATAAAATAAAATAAATTAAAGGTAACTTCATTCCCACTTTTTTGGGAGACAAAACCCCCCGTTACAAATGAAAGTTGGGTTTTATAACCCCAACAATAATAAACAATACACTCATCATTTTATTATTAAAATAATAAAATAATGATAATCCAAAAAATAGTGGTTATAGCTGTCTCTCTTTGCTCATTGTCGTGGAATAAGAATGAAGCAAAGATATAAAGCACCAATTTTTTGCCAGAACTGTTCAAATTCCTGAACTACAAGTTCTTCTCATTATGAACTTTTTGCTTGCTTCAGGTGAGTTCTTCTCATCGGGCGAGTTCTTCTCATTATGAACTCTTCCCGGGAAGGTCAATCAACTTCCTTCTGCGATGGGTAAGACCTAATTGAACATGGTTAGCCCAAGGTGATGTCGATCCAACTCCTTATGTAATCGACGAGCCATGGTTGAACAAGTTCTTCTCATTATGAACTTTTTCTCCCTCATTGGATGAGTTCTTCTCATTATGAACTCTCCACTAGAAATGTTGATCCAAGGTTGAACAAGTTTTTCTCATTATGAACTTCTTCTCCCTCATCGGATGAGTTCTTCTCACTATTAACCCTTCCATTGAAAATGTTGATCCACCTCATTCTGTGATGGAATCGAACAAAGTGATGATGCTGATCCAACTCCATATGCGATGGATGAGCCAAGTATTGGTGTTGTTCCAACTGCTTATGTGATGGAAACGAGCTAAGGTTGAACAAGTTCTTCTCATTATGAACTTCTTCTCAAATTAACAATGCTTTTCAGTTGTTTAAGAGGTGTTCTTCTCTGCATTGCTATCATGCATGTAATATCAGTTTCCAGTGACTGTATATCTACCCTTAAAAAAAGTATACTTGGAATCGGAGATCGGAATCGTTTCAAGTTTTCAGGCAGCTCTTCCACAAGGCATCATCCCTTTCGTCTTTGCCAAGGTATACAATGTTCATCCTGATATATTAAGCGCTGGGTAAGTTGTATTAATGTTTAATGTGTGTTGTTTTGGGGTTCTTAAATATTGGTCTAATTATAGTTTTAGTTCCTTTACTACGCTGAAATGTATGATTTTCAATCATAATTCCATTCAGGGTCATATTTGGGATGCTGATATCCATTGCTAAACTGCATTATAGTGGGACTTTGAAGCTTGAGAAATGGAAAAATGAAGGACTAGTGTGCAATTAAGCCACCATTTTGTAAAAAGGAATTTGGTTTTGCAAAACCAAAGAAAAATAAAGAAATGAGTATACATCATTGCCAAAAATACTTTCACTACAAATATATATTTACAAATGCAAAGTTATTTAGACTATATCACGAATCCTCGTTACATAAATTGCATACTTCGCCACACAACCTATGCTATTCGTCAAACATTATAACCAATAAAACAACATAGCAAAGAGGAAAAAATAAGTAAAGATGGAAAATTTGTTAATTAGAATTTCTATCAAATCCATGTTTTTTAACCTTCAAACACTGATTCATTCTTCGCAACCCATCAAACTTCAATCAAGTCATAGAAACATAGAAAGAGCAGCATTCGTATCAACTGGTTTTCTGCTACCATACACTGTTACATTGATGATAATAAATGTTTCAATATGATGCCATAAGAGGAAAAATCAAGTGATTATTATTTAAACTCATAAATCAAGTGAGATATTCAGGAAATAAGAATTATAAGTATTTCTGCACTTTTTGAACTTAAGAAGATGAAAGCATTTACCAAAGAAACTGTCTTATTGAATCTAACAATAACCGTATGCTGCAATAAACGTATATATGCTTACTTGATTCAGGTCATTCGAAGATAGAAGTTGAAGAATTGCCTTGATCTTTTATGGAATTTTCCACTTCCTCTGTGAGGTTCTACATTTAATAATCCTTGAAAGAAGTTAATAACATTTATGAAAGAGAAAAGAAGAATAAGAAATTAAAATGAATTTAGACTTACTTGGGTGTTAGAAGTGGAAGGACTGCTTTGGTCTTCTTCAGGATTTTCACCTTCCTCGATCATGGCATGCTGTTATGATCACCAAGTGAATAACATAAAAATATATATATTTTTATGCTACCATGTTTACTCGTAGATTTATATTAGATTTATGTTGTTATGAAAAGTATTATATTTATCGAGAGATTAAAAATTCAGCAGTATTTACTAGGTTTATATTGACCAATATCACTTAATGTGTATATATTGTTTGTAGTGAGTGGAATGTAAATCCAATTACAATAATATTGTAAATAGTAAATGAAAAGGAAATTTGAGAAAACACACCTTTTGTCTGAATAGCTGCTGTATGGTGTTGTTAAGGCTGCCTTCCCAATGCTCGTGAAATCCCCGCCTCTCTAGTAGTAGTACTTTGTGCAACTTTGGAGTGTTTGAGAGTCCTTGAGAGAACATCTTCATCTTCTGGCAATTATTTACAACTAGATCTTCCAAGGATGGAAATGAAAAGGTATAATTCCCTGATGAGAAGAAGCTTTCTAGCTTTGGTAGATGATCAAGTTCCAAACGGTTGAGTTGGGAGAAACTGATTTCATCATCATCATCGTCCCCACCTTGTATTATCTCTTCTATATTTTTGCAAAATGATATACTCATTTGTTTGAGTTGCACTAGACTTTTGGCTGTGGGATGTGTAATTAATTTTATGATTCCATCACATCCATATACTCTCAAAGTCACCAGATTTCGGAAAGATACCGAGGATGGAACTAGATTACCTTTTAATTTACGACAACACTCAACATGCAAAATCCTTAGATTTGGGAATCCTTCCTTTTCCTTCCATAGATGCATCAATTCACTCAGAAAAATCAGCCTTAATTCAGTTATCTGAGAGAGCAGCAGCGATGCAGGCTTTTCCTCACCATCTTCTTCACTTTGGAAAATCATCTCTTTAAAATAAGAACTCCATATTTCGAGTTTTTGAAGATTGGGTAAGGCTAATAACCGGTACAAGTAAGATGGCAATAATTGCTGCTCATACCCCTCAAGTGTGATGACTTTTAGGTTGCCAAAGTAATGAGACAAAAGTTGATGTTGGTGGTGGCCTTCACAATGACATATGATGTCTTTCATTCCAGCATTCCATCCCAAATAGAGTTGATGTAGATTTGGAAACGTACAGTGCACAATTCCCCATTGTTTCGTTAACAACAGGAACATAGGATGCCTTGTTCGAAATTGAAAGAGTTCAATACTAAAAAAGTAATTCATACTGGAAAAATCTAATATATCATAAAAAAAATAAAAGAAAACATAACACCAAAAGAATTCAAGTTAAGAAAATAAGTTATTGCTACAGCTATGCACATCATGTTTTATATTTTCATTTTCATTTTCATTTTTGAACTTTGAACTTTTCCATATTAAATAAATTTAACTACAAGTGAAAACTTCTTACATATTAAATATGTATACTTTAACTTTTAAATCGTCTTTCAAAGAAAAGGTTGGAAGATGAGTAAATAGAATGCATGTGATTTTACGGATAGGAAATATCTATATATTTATGCATACCTTTTCATGGAAGATATGTGGTACCTCTGCTCTGCTCTTTCCATTATATAAAACGAATGCGTTCAAATCAGAACATCTAATTATGAGCAAATTCCTTAGCGAGGGAAACTCAATCGGATTAATTCCACAGCAAAATCCTTTCAGTTTTGGAAGATAACTGAGTTCCAAATAGTCAAGTTTAGGGAACACACTTGTGTTGCCGTTAATCCTTTCTTCTTCGGTTGCTTCTAATATTCCCTCTATTACCCATTTCATTTCATCACAAAATAAAACCTTAAGTGTTTTCAGTTGCACAAAGCTTTTAACCATGGATGAAGTAAATACATACTTCAACTTATGGCATTTCTCCACTTTCAGAATTGTTAAACTTTGAACACTAAAATATATTCCATAAAGGTGATCATCTGTTATGTATGGCTCATAAAAAGTCTCGTTGTGGGGTTACGAATTATGTGGGTTGGGGGTGTGGGGGCGCAGCCCCCGCGGTACGGTACAGGGTTGATTTTGTAATTATGTACCAGGGTTTTCTATTATAAATAGAGATGTAACCTAGACCTAAAATATCATTGAATAAAAACTTCTAGCGCCGCATAGGCACCGAGGACGTAAGCACATTGCCGAACCTCGTAAAATTCTCGTGTTCTTTCGTTTTCTTTACCCGTTTTCGTCAACAATTGGTATCAGATGTCAGGAGCAAAATTCGAAGTCGCGAAATTCGATGGTCAGGGTAACTTCGGATTATGGCAAACGAGGGTGAAGGATCTATTGGCGCAGCAAGGGATCTTGAAGGCTTTGCGACCTACAAAGCCGGCGTCGATGGATGAGGAAGATTGGGAAGAATTGCAGCAACGAGCGGCAGGAACCATACGATTATGCTTGGCGGACGAGGTCATGTATCACGTCATGCATCTATCGTCTCCAGACGAAATTTGGAGGAAGTTGGAAAGTCAGTTTATGTCCAAATCCTTAACGACAAAACTGTATCTGAAGCAGCGGCTGTATGGGCTGAAGATGCAGGACGATCACGATTTGGCGCAACACGTGAATGTCTTCAATCAAATCGTTTCTGATCTGGCTCGGCTTGATGTGAAAATTAAGGATGAAGACAGAGCGATGATTCTGTTGTGTTCGTTGCCTTCCTCTTACGAACACATGGTGACTACTCTTACATATGGGAAAGAGACTATCAACGTTGAGGAGATTACTGCAGCCTTGTTGGCTCACAACCAGCGGAAGCAGAATGCAGGGGAAAGCTCTCAAGCCGATAGCTTATATGTCAAGGGTAATCGAGATCGTGGACGGAAGCCAGAGAAGGCAGGGTCCGGGAAGCGGAATTCCAGATCCAAATCCAGGGATAAGAAGACGATTCACTGTTACAAGTGCAAGGAGGCGGGACATATGAAGCGAGACTGTCCGAAGTTGAAAAAGCAGACCGATGAGAAGCGTGATGGCTCATCCAAGTCTGTGAACGTGGTCGAGGATGATACTTCTGATTGCAGTGAGGGTGATATGCTTTCTATTTCAACGACACAATTGACGGATGCTTGGATTCTTGATTCTGGATGTTCTTATCACATCACGCCAAATAGGGAATGGTTTTCGACATACAGGCCGGTTAATTCTGGTTCGGTTTATTTGGGTGATAATCGATGTTGCAATATTGTTGGTATTGGTGATGTCAGAATTAAGATGCACGATGGCTCCGTTCGGACGTTGAGTGGTGTTCGACATATCCCAGACTTGAAGAAGAATTTGATTTCCTTGGGCACTTTGCACAAGAATGGTTTTATCCCTAACGCTGACGAGGATAGGGAAACCATTCGGATTGTTAAAGGAGCATTGACTGTGATGAAAGGCAAGATGACTGCAGGGAATATCTACAGATTGTTAGGGAGTACCGTTGCAGGTGGAGTTCACTCTGTTGAGTCCTGTGATGATACGACAAAATTGTGGCATATGCGCCTTGCTCATCTTAGTGAACGTGGTATGACAGAATTACACAAGAGAAACTTGTTGCATGGTGTCAAAAGCTGTAAGCTCGATTTTTGCAAGTATTGTGTTCTTGGTAAACAGACTAAAGTCCGTTTCAAGACTGTGAAGCACACAACTCAAGGGATTCTTGATTATGTGCATTCTGATGTATGGGGGCCTTCCACGACATCGTCTTTGGGTGGATCTAGGTACTATGTTACTTTTATTGATGATTTTTCACGGAAAGTTTGGGTGTATTTTTTGAAACAGAAATCTGAAGTTTTTGAGAAGTTCAAGCTGTGGAAAGCTGAGGTAGAAAACCAAATAGGACGAAAAATCAAGTGTTTGCGGTCTGACAATGGTACGGAGTACACAGATTCACAGTTCCTACAATTCTATAAGGAGCATGGGATTCAGAGGCATTTTACAGTGCGCAAGACACCACAACAGAATGGTGTTGCGGAACGAATGAACAGGTCGTTGAATGAAAGAGCCAGATGTTTGCGGTTGAATGCGGGGCTTCCCAAACACTTCTGGGCTGAGGCTGTTAACATGGCGTGTTACCTTATCAACAGATCGCCAAGGGCATCGCTGGCTGGGAAAGTTGCAGAAGAGGTATGGACTGGTCATGATGTTAGTTTTGATAACTTACGGATTTTTGGTTGTCCTGCTTATGTGTATGTACCTGCTGATGAGAGATCCAAACTTGATGCAAAATCGAAGGAGTGTATTTTTCTGGGTTACAAGAAAGGTGTAAAAGGATTCAAGTTCTGGGATCCAGTTACGAAGAAAGTTGTGATTAGTAGAGATGTCGTTTTTGATGAACAGTCTATGTTGCAGCAGAAGCAAGACACGACAGTGGTAGATTTCGAGCAGTTTCCAGTTGAGAAACCAGAAACTTCTCAACCGACTTCTGGTGGTTCCACTACGGATGATTTGCAGGATTATAGTCTCGCCAGAGACAGGGTGAGACGGACGAATATAAAGCCTCCGAACAGATTGGGTTTTGAAGACTTGGTATCTTTTGCACTTACTGTTAGCAGTGATGATCCATTTACTTTTCATGATGCCGTTACTAGTCAGGAAAACGACAAGTGGATGGCAGCCATGGTTGAGGAGATGGAGTCTTTGAATCACAATCGCACATGGGAGTTAGTTCCCCTTCCTGAGGGTAAGAAGCCGATTGGTTGCAAATGGGTGTATAAGAAGAAACCAGCAGTAACAGAAAAAGAGGGGGAGAAGTTCAAGGCTCGTTTGGTAGCGAAGGGTTTTTCACAGCAGAAAGGAGTTGATTATGATGAAATCTTTTCTCCTGTGGTCAGGCACACTTCAATCCGAGCAGTACTTGCATTGGTGGCTAGTTGGGATTTGCATTTAGAGCAGATGGATGTTAAAACTGCTTTTTTGCATGGTGATTTAGAGGAGCAGAACTACATGCGGCAACCTGAAGGTTTCACTCAACCTGGAAACGAACATTTAGTTTGCAGATTGAAGAAATCTTTGTACGGGTTAAAACAGTCTCCGAGACAGTGGTATAAACGGTTTGACTCTTATATGATCAAGATTGGCTACAACCGATGTGAGTATGATTGTTGTGTCTATGTTAAGAGCCTTGATGATGGTTCTTTTATTTTTCTATTACTGTATGTTGATGATATGTTGATTGCTGCGAAGAACATGGATGATGTTATCGGTTTGAAAACTTTATTGAGTCAGGAATTTGATATGAAAGATTTAGGTGCTGCAAAGAAAATTCTTGAAATGGAAATTTGCAGGGACATAGACTCAAGGAAACTGCAGCTATCTCAACGGGGTTATGTTGAGAAAATGCTAGAAAGGTTTGCGATGAGCAGCGCGAAACCAGTTAGCACTCCATTGGCGAATCACTTTAAGCTCTCATCAGAACAGTGCCCTAAGACATATAAGGAAGCTGAAGATATGGCAAAGGTTCCGTATTCTAATGTTGTTGGCTGCTTGATGTATGCGATGGTATGTACTCGTCCTGATTTAGCTCATGCTGTTAGTCAAGTTTGTAAGTACATGTCTAAACCTAGTAAGCAACATTGGGACGCAGTCAAGTGGATCTTTCGGTACTTAAAGGGTACTGTGGGACATGGAATTGTTTTTGGGAGTCAGCGGGATAACCCTTTGGTTGTAGGATATGTGGATTCAGATTATGCAGGTGACTTGGATAATAGAAGATCTACGACAGGGTATGTGTTTACTCTTGGTGGAGGGCCTATTTGCTGGAAGTCTACTGTTCAATCTGTCGTGGCACTATCTACAACTGAAGCTGAATACATGGCAGCGGCTGAAGCTGCAAAAGAAGCTTTATGGCTTACTGGTTTAGTGAAGGAGTTGGGTGTTCAACAAGGTGGAGTTCAGTTGCTTTGTGATAATCAAAGTGCTATTCACTTGGCTAAGAATCAGGTGTATCGTGCTAGAACTAAACATATTGATGTAAGGTTCCACAAGATCAGAGAGTTGGTTGCATCTGGAGAGGTTTTGTTTCAGAAGGTACATACTGATGAGAATGCCGCTGATATGTTCACCAAGCCAGTTACGACAGACAAGTTCAAGCATTGCTTGGACTTGTTGAATGTTTTGAGTTGTTAAAGAAGCAAGGTAACCCAACCCACATTGAAGTTTCCAAGGGGCAGGATATTCGCCAAGGTGGAGATTGTTATGTATGGCTCATAAAAAGTCTCGTTGTGGGGTTACGAATTATGTGGGTTGGGGGTGTGGGAGCGCAGCCCCCGCGGTACGGTACAGGGTTGATTTTGTAATTATGTACCAGGGTTTTCTATTATAAATAGAGATGTAACCTAGACCTAAAATATCATTGAATAAAAACTTCTAGCGCCGCATAGGCACCGAGGACGTAAGCACATTGCCGAACCTCGTAAAATTCTCGTGTTCTTTCGTTTTCTTTACCCGTTTTCGTCAACATCATCAATATGCCATATTTTCTCAATGTCGTAGATTGAGTTCAACTCCAACTCTTTCGAGGCAGGACACGAAATCTGCAAAGATATAAAACTCATGTTTCATATTCCATCATGAATAATTCTTTCTTAATTAATAATTAGGATTCAAAAATATACTTTTTTTTAAAGAAAATCATTAATTCTTTTTGAATATTATATAAAGATAATAAAAGATATAATAAAAAAACTCTTATAATAATATTTTATAATTCTTTTAAAATTTGGTTTTTCCCATAAAATTTTCAACTGAAATGACGCCACTTGACTCATAATAATAGTGTAGATATAAATAAATATATACTCTTTTATCTAATTTAAAGGGAAAAATGAAAATACATCAAAATAAAAAAGAAAAATTGATGGATGCCATAATTAATAGATGAATAGAAATACCTTTTTATCAAAAAGCCATGTGACGGATTGAAATGTGTTTTGTATATACCACGGGCCATTGAATTCATTCAGAGTATCCAACTTGATGCGTAATTTATCAAATTTCAGAGTGTCATTCTCTCTAATCTCTTCCTTTTCAACAATTAATGCTATCATATTGGAGATTCTCGACTTTTATGAATCTTAACAGCTCAAAAGATTCAGCATTTAGATCGTAAAGCCTTTCCACAACATCTTTCCTCATATGCAGATATAGACTTTCAATTTTCAGGACAACAATTTATAAATGCCTTCAACCAAATCAATACTTTTATTAATCTCCAGCTTCAACATTCTTGGTGTCTTCATCTCTCTGTCAAAATAAGAATCCCACTTCTCATATCCAATTGAAATCTTGAACCTTTCCATCTTTCCGAGAAACAAGTTATCCTTCGGTATAGCTTCCACATCAGGAATATGTACTTCCAAAGTTGCTAGACGAGGCAAATGATGCAACTCCATAAGACTAGCTTTGCTTCTTGGATTCTCAATTCCCTCAATCTCCCATCCATCAAAGCTATCATATAGGTATAATTCTTCTAATTTGGATAACTTAGATAACACATTTGGTGGTATTACTTTAAGATGGTAACAATCACTCAAGTCTAGCAATTATAGCTTTGTCAACTGTCCAATCTCCACCGGTAACATTTCTATTCCAGAGTAACGAAGGTCAAGGATTTCCAAATTTTCCAACTCTCCAAAGATGACTATATCTTTCAGACCACAATCTATCAAACGCAATGTACAGAGAGTTTTCAAGAAACCAAGGGAGGAAGGCAAAGTTGTAAAATTTGTTCCATCAAATTCCAAGACATTGAGTCTTTGCATTCCCTTAAAAAAGTTGTTGGGAACTTCCACAAAGCCATGCATGAAGAAAAATGTAAGGTTTGGACATTCCAACTCATCCGGAAGCTGACTAACCTTAGCATATTTTAAGCTAACAAGATGCGAGTTTCTCATTGTATCCTTCCACTCTTCAAATACATCTTCCTTTCCTAAAGCAAGCCAACGACGTTCCCTAGAAGCAATTGCAATGGCAACATCGCGGACAACATCATGCATATCAAAGCTTTCAGATGTAGAACCAGCAAGTAACAGGGAAGAGTCTCTGAGCTCGTTAACCAGTGTCAACACTCTGTTGCGCACTTTTTCCATCGTGTCAAGGCCATGAAATAAACCCAGGCCCCTACAATATTTCAGTAAGTCTTCGATGGCAGCATCATGATCCATTATACTGCAGAGCAAGAAAGTGTATTTAAGTTCCTCCCTTTCCAAATATCTGTAGCTCATCTCTATGGCTGAATATGCTTCAGCTGTTATGCCTTCGGAGTTTATTTCAGAGGGTTTTAGCTGGCTCCAGAGCATCCTTCCATTCATATAAATTCTCTTTATGTTTCAAAGCCTTTGCAACTGTTGTAATAGCGAGTGGCAGTCCTGCACATTTTTGGGCGACTTCCATTGCTGTAGATTGCAAGTCAGATCTTTCAGCAATAGGACCAGCCACGTCCTTAAACAGGTTCCATGCTTCATCTTCTTTCAGCACATCAATTGGAAGGCTTTTTTGAGAACCCATCGACTTCAATACAACGAGCTTTCTCGAAGTTATTAAGATCTTGCATCCCTTGTGTTGGTCTGCTGAAGGAATTCCGAGTGCCCTGATATCCAGGAACTTCCAAATATCATCCAAAATAACAAGAACCCTGTTCTCTTTCCCTAGTCTTTCACGAAGTCGAGCGACTCTCACATCTGTGCTGTTCTCGCTGATTGTCATGCCTAGCTTCTCAGCAATCTCCTCCTGGATCTTCCGCATGTCTGGTGTTTGCTTTATTGTAACCAATACCACTTCACTAAAAAGCTGTCCTGGTTGGCTTTTCCAGCGACCTCTTTGACGAGGGTGGTTTTACCCACACCCCCCATACCGTACATTCCGATTATGCTGACTCTATCATCTTCCAATGCACTCATGACCTCATCAAAAGCACCCCTTCTTGATTCGAAGGCCTCGTACTCTTCAACAAGTCTGATAGTGTCTATCGCTTCAATTGCAGGAAGGTGGGAAACTCCATCAAAGTTTTCCTTTTGGATCAAGAGTTGAGCTATAGCTTCGGCCTCCTTGTCCGCTTTCTTGCTAAGTTGGTAACTGGACTTGAAATCAGCGCGAAATCCAGCAAAACACCTCTTCATCGCTTTCTCTTCATCCTTTTGCAATTGTGCTGCAGCATCCTCGGAGATCTTCTCATTCACCGCTTCCAACCAACTTTGAACATTCTCAAAAATCACCTCCCCCTTCCTGTTAGCCGCTTCAACAGATTGTTGCACCCTTTCTCTTGCATCCTTTAGGTCTTGAACTTTTCTCCGGAGGTTCTGAAACTTGCTCCTGGGCTTGAATAAGTAACTAAGTTGTCGTGCAGTGGGCTCGACAGAGTACTCAACAGCTTTGCCAGCAAGAGATCCCACAAAGGCAAAAAGACAGTCCATTTTTTCCCTTGAAAATTTGCTAAGAAGCAGAACAAACTATAGAACGACGGGGGAGTAAATCCTTAGCAACAGAACAGTCGCTGCAGAGAAAACAACAACATATTGGATAATGAAATGCGTACTTGAAACAGTTGAGTAAATACGATAATCAAAGATGAAAACAGTGTGTTAAACAAAGCATACCTCCTCTTGTGGATATCCAAAGCAAGTGAGTAATGAGCTTTAGAGTTTTATTTCTTCGTATTCCAACTTTGAGAGAGAGAAAAGAAGACACAGGGAGAAACAACCAAGTTGGAAAATAATGGTGGACAGATGTGCAAGTTAATTATTTAAACTATGTTATTTGTTCATGCCTGCATAGTGCATACTTTTGTTTTCTTTCTCGACAAAAGCATCTTTGACTACATCTGAGTTTGGAGATTTAAATCCAAATAATTTATCTCTACAAATTTTTTTTTTCAAGTGGGACAAAAGCATGCATAATCTATACTTTTCTTCCTTATATTTACTTGTTTCTCAACAAAATCATCATTGATTCAGATCCTGCATAAACGGCACCCAAATTGGACTGAACCATTTGTTAGGATGTTGTTCTAGTCAAGTTGCAAGTTGGCAATCACAAGTTGGTCGCTCAATTGTTTAATACATTGAACTCAAGAGGAGACGATTGGATCGAGGGGCGGGTGGGGCTGTTATCTCCTGAAAATTTTAAATTTTTCATATAATTTAATTATTTTTTTATATTTTCCATTAATAATCTAATTTCGTATTTCATTTTATAATTCCATACCTTAAATTTATATTATAAATTATTAAATATAAAATTTATTCCTAACATAAAATCTACATCTGTTATTGATTAGGTCCGATCATAACTTTGCGGACTGTTTTTGGGATGCTCATACGTTAGCTCAATAAGGTTTGACATAGGTTGATATAAAATAATAAAAGCAATATATATTATATGATAAGGTTTGTCGTCATCTATACCTTCATTTTATTATAAATTATTAAATATAAAATTTATCACTAACATAAAATCTATATCTGTTATTGATTAGGTCTGATTATAACTTTGCGGAGTGTTTTTGGGATGTTCATACGTTAGCTCGAGAAGGTTTGACATAGGTTGATATAAAACAATAAAAGCAGTATATATTATATGATAAGGTTTGTCGTCATCTATACCTTCATTTTATTATAACTTATTAAATATAAAATTTACCCCTAACATAAAATCTAAATCTATTATTGATTAGGTCCGATCATTATATTATGGAGTATTTTTGGATGCTCATACGTTAGCTCGAGAAGGTTTGATATAGGTTGATATAAAATAATAAAATCAGTATATATTATATGATAAAGTTTGTCGTCATCTATACCTTCATTTTATTATAAATTTGTAACAGCAAATATAATATCTTACCATGTGAATTTCCATATTTCTCTCATTTTCACATTATAATAATTTCCTTATAAATAAATGGATTCAAATTGATTACTCATTTTGTTCATAATCACAAGTCTAACTTAGGCCTAAAATTAAATAAAGTTCCCAAAATTATTTATTCTCCAATTGATCATGCATCATCACAATTATAGAATTATATCTTTTAAATCAAAGTCTATCAAACGCAATGTACAAAGAATTTTCACCTTAAAATAGTTCATATATGGATGGAAATTATTAGTTAATAAACGGTTAAAGCTCCAAAATAGAAGCTATTTACGTTGAGGGTCAAAATTCTCTATAAAAAATAAAGGTCAAATTGACAATTTAGTCAAACATAAGAGTCTTTTTACCCTAAAATGAAATGTTATGGGCCAAAGTGCTCCAAAAACGAAGAATAAGGGTCATAATAACTATTTTAGTAAACATTTGAGGTAATTTGGACATTATGTCTTAATAAAAATAAGTTGAACTTTTTAAAATATCCTAGTTATGTATAAAAGTTACAATTAGCTATACCATTAGCAAACCCTTTGTTAAAAAACACTCGCTGCAGAAGAAAACAACATATTGAATAACGAAATTCGTATTTGAAACAGTGGAATACATATGATAATCAAAGATGAAAATAATGGAAGAAGTGAGTTAAACAAAGCATAACTATTCCTTTGGATATCCAAAGCAAGAGATTAACAAAATGCGTACTTGAAACTGTGGAGTAATATGATAATAGTTTGATTTGTTCAAGTTAAATGATAGTTAAGGACAAGCACTAATCCACTAGCACAATACAGAATTAACCCACAACAAAAACAAAATATACCATACAGAAACAAACTATACCTCCATACCATGGTCATATGCTTCTACCACCATACTCTAAACATATCTGATTTCTTTCTTCCACCTTTTTTCAGCCATATCATTACAATTCCGAGCAACAAAAACAAAACGGATACACTCAATTTGACAAGCAAACTTATAAAAATTAATAAAAAATTTATAAAAAATCCATGGCCTCTAACTTCAAATAGTGACCCATGACACTGCAACTTGCGAATTTGACTTCACTACAACACCATATCGATCATCTTGCCTAAGGGTGTAAACGAGCCGAGTCGAGCTCGAGTATTGCTGAGCTCGACTCGAACTCGAAAACTATATGAGCAAGATCGACTCGACTCGAAAACTCGCGAGCTAAAAGTTATCAAGCTCAGCTCGAACTCGAAATATATTATTGAAACTCGACTCGAACTCGAAAAGGCTTAAATTCAAAAAATATTAAGAGCTCAATTGAAGCTTGAGACTCAAACTCGACTGAAGCCCAATTTTAAACTCAATTCAAGCTCGATTTTAAACTCGATTCAAACTAGATTCAAGCTCGATTTTGAGCTTGATTCAAGCTCGATGGGTTTTAATTTCATTTACTGAAACCCTTCCACCTTTTATACACTGACTTTACCCCTTATTCCCCTAAAAACCACTGATGTGGGATATTAACTCCTCATCTTAGCTTATCTTACCTTCAAAGCAGGGCCACTCTTCATCCTCATCATCGGGCAGCCATAGATTTCTTCAAAAGAAGCCACACATTCACCTCCCCAAGATCTTTACTTTAGGCCCACTTCTCCATCGCCGTGAGCTCAAGCACTGGAAAACCGCATTACTTTCCCTTTGCTAACATCATCTTTCTATCTTCTTTTCTTCTTTAAATTTATAGAAATAGACTGCAAGATTTGTTCAATATTTTCGGTTCAATGTACTTTACTGTGGCCTTTCTGGGGATGGACAACATCTCATCTGTCCAACCATTTGTTGCCACAGAGAGGGTTGTTATGTACCGAGAAAGATTTGCAGGGATGTACTCTTATTGGGCTTATGCACTAGCACAAGTACGTTCTCTTATGCATCATAAGTTAAAATGAACTTTTTTATTTTCTCTATTTGAGCTAAGTTGCTAGTTTTCTGGGTTCTCGATAAAGTTTATAGTAAATAAGGAGGGTGTAAATATTCTGCAGGTGGCAGTTAAGGTACCCTATCTATTTATCCAAACTCTGTTGTTTGGAATGATCGCATATCCCATGATTGGCTATTATGGATCAGCATATAAGGTTTTTTGGTACTTCTATGCCATCTTCTGCACACAGCTCTACTTCACCTTCTTTGGAATGTTGTTTGTGTCATTGACACCGGAAGTCACAATAGATGGAGCTTTATCATCGTTCTTCTATCCATTGCTTAATCTTTTCTCCAACTTTCTTATGCCTAAACCGATAAGCTATTACTATTAGAAAGAATTTGGTATGATGAAAAGTGAATATGTTGAATTATACCTAGTATAAATGTGATGTAGTATTCACTTAGCTGGTTATGTTATTATTTATCTGCAGAAAATCCCAAAGTGGTGGCTCTGGTTGTATTATCTAATGCCTACATCTTGGACATTGAATTGTTTGCTCACTTCACAATATGGAGATGTAAACGATGATATTATGGTATTCAGTGAAATGAAGCCATGACAGTGGCCTCTGTGCTTGAAAACTATTTCGGGTTTCGCCATGACTGCTTACACATTACAGTTGTCGTTATGATTTTGTATCCCCTAATTTTTGCAACCCTTTTCCCATATTTTCTTGCACGTTTGAACTTTGAGAAAAGGTGAATAGGTTTGTCCCACAAGGATGAAAATACTGTGCATAAACGAATTGTGTTCCTTTTGTACTGAACTGGGTTTTGTTGTCTACTATTTGTTTGAGTTCTCACCATTCCATTGCTTGTTGTAGTTTATAGTCTTGAAGATGCTCTAATTTAATCAACCTTTCATTAATTAAGAAACTGATCCGAACTAAAACCAGAATCCATGGATCCAAATGTATGGCCAAACATTTCAGTTGATATGCATGGGTTTTGAGACATTTTATGGTGAAACAACCACTAGATTCAGACTTGTGGTTGAGACAAACGACTCATAAAATTTGGAATCGAATAGCCACCATCTACGATGGACCATTGTAGGATTTGTGAGCATTGTTAATTGATTAAGAAAATTTTAAACATATATTACTTTATAACTATCCCAAATTCTACTTACATTCTAAAACGCTTTAATTGTTTATAATTATATATATCATAATCCTATCATGTATTTACCTCGAATATTCATATGATTCAAACTCGTCATTTTTCATTAAAAAATTGGTGATTGTATGATATTGATGTTAACCTGTTGACTAGGGTATGATAAAATATGATCCCATCATTTTAGTTGTATTTGTACATCAAATCTCCGTTTACATTATGTCATCAAGTCAGTTCTTGAAATATTATGTTGGCGAGTCAGTGCTTGAAAGCAATGACAGTGTCGATAGTCATCATTAAGATATGATAAAATCATGTCTCAATCAGCAAGTTGTGTATATTTATTTTGCATGTTGATATGTTTATGTATAGGTATGCAAATGATTTATTTAAGAGTCACATAACATCATTTTGCATAATTTGTATGTTACCTTCATGTGCATAACTTAACCCCTATCACATAATCGGATTTAGGGTTTAGGGTTTAGGATTTAGGATTTAGGATTTAGGGTTTAGGGTTTAGGATTCATTACAAATATATTAATTAATCGACTTGGTACCTATTTATGAGGTAAGTACAATATAATATCATGATATTAAATGCATTACAATTTGGTTTCGTTATATTATAGAATTTTTAATATATTTTTAAAATTTTATAATTATCAATAATGTATTTTTAATATATTTTTAATAATGTAATTTTAAAAAATCTAAAATTATAATATAACATTTTTTCGAGCTGCT